AACCCACTTCAACCACACTTGCAAGCAGTGATTTCCAGCCCCTAACTATTCATGTGAATTTTTTGTTCCCTCACATTACATTTGCTTCTTTTGAAAAGTACCTTCTACATGTCCCCTCTCATTCTCTATTTTGTTTTGGTGGGTAGCGCTCCTCGGGCAATTTGCCCAAAATATTACATAATTTAAAACACAAGTTAAACTCACCACAAATCATGTTACCATGATCTTTTACAATGGTTTAGAAAATAAGTTGAACTGGGAACCAGCTTTGCCAACAAAACTAATACACATCCAGAGTTAATTTTAGCTAATTGCCATCATTTGCAGATCTTCAGCCAACCTCTTCAAATACAGATTTGTGGAAAGTAACTAATTTACTCGGAAAATAACTACTGTACACAAATTAAACTCGTTTTTTAGAAAGATGCTTTCACTGACTTAAAATTACGCTGTGAGCCAGTGAGGAAGAAGAATTGGCTCCTCACTTTGTCACCCACTCTTATTCGGTTGCAATGCATAAATTTTATTTTTATTTAACCTATTTTTCTAATCAAAATGTTCATAGATATTATTATGCACCTCTGGAGCAGGTGGGACTTCCTGGTACAGCGGAAGGACAATACCACTGCCTCACAAGAGGGTCTTCAGTTGTTACTTAAGTTTTAAATTTTTTTTTGTTTTTTAGTAAGCAGTGCTCACACTTCAATTAACACATTATAAAGTGGATAAAACTAAAGAAGTTGAATTATAAAGCTTTTTTTCAAGTGAAAAAACAAGAATTTTATTACCTATTCAGGTCAGGTGGGTCAGGAGCTGGAGCAGGGGACAGGGTTTCAGGTTCTTGGATCATTGAGATCTCTTCTGGGGCAAGGGTGACCTGTACAAGAGTGATGGGTTGCACCTAAACTGGAGGGGAACCATTATCCTCTTTGCTCGTACTACTCGGGAGGATTTAAACTGGAGTGACGGGGGCTGCAAACCAGAGCAACAGGCCAGCAAGTGGAGGGATTGAGGGGAAGGTAGATCTTAGGAGAGGAAATCAGAAAGAAAGGACAGGCAGAGACGCGTAATTGAACATGATAGTACGAATGGGCTGAAGTGTGTTCATTTCAATGCATGGAGTATTAAATGTAAGGCAGATGAGCTTAGAGCCTGGATCAGTACATGGGACGATGATGTTTTGGCCATTACAGAGACTTGATTGAGAGAGGGACAGGACTGGCTGCTCGATATTCCCAGGGTTTTGTTGCCTTAGATGAGATAGAGAGGAAACTAAAAGAGGTTGAGGAGTTGCATTACTAATCAGGGTGATTGTTCAGAGAGGACACGTTGGAGGGCTGTTCAAACTCCACACAAACCGTCTCCCAAGACTGGAATTGAACTGGCACTGTGAGGCAGCCATGCTAACCACTGTGGCACAGTCCAACACGTTGTGGACTGGCACCATGAATCTCACTGAATGAAACAATTTAACTGAAAACAGGAAAATTTTGACCCATATCTCTTCCTCCATCTCTGCTTTGCCACTCAAAGCAGCTTTTGATATCTTTACTTTGGTATCATCCTTCTCTTCCCCATTGCCTCTCCAAGCTGAATACTCCATGAATAGCCTTTCATCTCTCAAAATGTAAACTTATCATGCATTGAGAATTAAACAAAATACGATCTTTACACAAATTATTGTCTGGTTGCACTGTCTTTGGAAGAAATAATAAGTTCATTGCAGTTAGGTTTTGTATATCTTATATTATTTCCACAAAGCCTGTCTCTGTCTGGTGTCAAGTAATCACAGTAGTTATTTTAAATCAGTATTTATCTTGTTTTTTAAAAATTATTTTTGTCTGTCAAGGTCTCAGGTATTAAGAATGGAAGTTGAAAATCGATGCTGTGTACTTACCGTTATCATAACAGTCTTAAGGAAAAATGTATCAGAATCGTTCTGAGGAAGGGTCACCGGATCCGAAGCGTTAACTCTGATTTCTCTTCACAGATGCTGCCAGACCTGCTGAGCTTTCCCTAACAACCTCTGTTTTTGTTCAGGATCATTACATTCAACTATATCATGATTATTTTTAATAAAAGATATGTCCTGAACCATAGCAATTTCACTGGTTAATGGAAGAGTTTATATTTGACAATGTGCAAATGATTTGACTAGAAATTGTGCAAAAAAATTCAGAGTGATAAACCAGTGCCTTTTGAGTGCAAAATACCAGATTACTCATGATTCCTAAAGTAGAAGTCTAACCCATGTCACTCCTGAGTAGTGAAATGAAGGCAGAAACCTTGTTTTGTGCTACATATGTAACATTTTTTTTCTAAATTGATTAACTTTGTTTGTCTTGGCAAGCGTGACTTTATCTAGAATATTTTAACTTTTGAGCACTGGAATTTTGTAAGAACTATTCATAAATCCTCAAAATTTTAGTCATTCCGCATGAAGATGAAGAACTACATATTTATATGAACTTTAACAGATATGTTATAGCAATTAGTCACAGTTTAGGAGTGGGATGTCGTTTTGTGGCTGTACGGGACATTGGTGAGGCCACTTTTAGAATACTGCATACGATTCTGGTCGCTGTTCTACAGAAAGGACATTGTTAAACTTGAAAGGGTGCAGAAAGTATTTCCAAGGATGTTGCTGGGACTGGATGGTTTTTAGTTATAGGGAGAGGTTGAATAGGCTGGGGCTTTTCTTTCACTGGAATGTTGGAGGCTGAGGCTGAAGAGTGACCTGATGGAGGTTTATAAAAAATCATGAGGAGCATGGATAGGGTGAAGAGCCAAGGTCTTTTTCCCAGGAGTCCAAGACTAGAGGACATAGGTTTAAGCTGAGAGGGGAAAGATTTAAAAAGGATCTGAGGGGTAACTTTGTCATGCAGTGGGTGGTGCATGTGTAGCATGAGCTGCAAGAGGAAGTGGTGGAGGTGGGTACAATTAGAACAGTGAAAAGGCATCCAGATGGATATTTGAATAGGAAGGGTTCAGAGGGATTTTTTAAAATTCATTCAGAGGATGAGGGCATTGCTGGCTAGGCTAACATTCTTTGGCCATAGAGCAGTTAAGAGTCAACCACATCGTTGTGGGTCTGGAGTCACATGTAGTCCAGACCAGGTAAGGATGACCGTTTCCTTCCCTAAAGGACAGTAGTGAATCAGATAGGATTTTCCCCTGACAATTGGCAATGGATTCATTACCGTCATTAGACTCTTTAATTCCAGATATTTATTGAATTCAAATTCCACCAGCTGCCATGGCGGGATTCAAACCTAGGTCCCCAGAACATTACCTGAGTTTCTGGATTAACAGTCAAGTCCACTAAGCCATCTTTCTTCATACGACAAAGCAGTGCTTCATCCTCACTACTTATCCGGTGAGAGACAACAATTTATAACCAACTTCTTCCACTACATTGGAAGAGGCACAAACACAGGTTGAATGATAAAGGCAAAATATGTGAATGCTAGAGATCTGAAATAAATACAGGAGGTACTGAAGAAACTCAACAGGTCTAGCAGCATCAGTGGACAGAAAAACCGTGTAGAAAACAAAGAAAGAAAAACTAATCCCTGATTGGCTAATAAATACATAAGCTTTAGCCAGATGATGCACATAGATGTGATTCCCTCTAAATGTCAACACACACACTTTTAACACTTGTTACACCTCACTGAAGTAGTGTGCTGGAAGTCAAGCTCTGCTATTCCCTGACTGATCAGTTTTTTTTTAATGGGTCAAATTCTAGCAAATGGGGCAAGGTCAGATTGGGATGTCTGGTCGGTGTGGATGAGTTGGACCGAAGGGTCTGTTTCTGTGCTGTATGACTCTATGACTGATTCCATCACTTAGTACATTATGACTGATGCTTAAATAAAATGACATGTTCAAATAAAATATTGTGATTCTTCGTAGTCGCTACTTTGCTGCATAAATAAGTTTCCTGTGGAAAATGAGGAAAGTATTACTGTACGTAAATAATTCTGTGCAGAATTTCTTTACATGTTTTGTGAATTTCTCATTCTGAATTCAATGCATACTATCTGTATGTGTGCTCATGGGCTGCTACCTGTGTGACTAACTGTTCTTGCAAGCTTTATTTCATAGAATCATAGAATCCCTGCAGAGTGGGAGCAGGCTAATCAGCCCATTGAGTCCACACTAACCCTCTGAAAAGCATCCCAAACAAACCAACCCTCCTATTCTATCCCTGTACCATGGCTAACCCACCGAGCCTGCACATCCCTGCACACTTTGGGAAATTTAGCATGGCCAATCCACCTAACTCGCGCATCTTTAGGCATAAGCTCTGCGAAAAATGTGTATCTCAAATCAATTTTATAAAAGGCTCAACTATGATGCACCTTACAGGTCTTTGGTTATCACACTATAGGCTCACACAATATGTTCAGTACATAGTGTGATATCTCAGTAGCAATGGCACTTTACAAACGATAACCCAGCACAATGTCAATCTAGTATGCTACATATTCAGATGTGCCATGTTACTTAGCCATCTACTTTAATCCCGCTCTCATGCTTGCTTTCTATTTGTTAATATTTTTCTTCATTTAGTTCCTCTATAAAATAAATTATTCTGCTTTAACAACCATTGATGATTGAAAGTTCCAATTTATATAAACAATTTTCTTCTAAAGAAACTTTCTCTTGTTTTAAATTCTTTTAGTGATTAATTGTAAATGCCTAATGTTGAAAACCAAAATTATTAGCTAAAAGAATTCCTTGAATCACTAACAAGACCTCACTCTCAAAATAGATTATTCTTATAAATCAGCAAAGATTTTGTGAAATATTATCAATTCCAATGGAGAAATATTGGGAAGAAAGAGAAACACATTTTGACTGTCATAAATATTTCCAAACTGTTAACATATGATTGGCAACATGGTTTTGTAATTTTTGGCTCCATTGTAATTAGCCACATGCCATTGGTGACAAATGTTATTGAATTAAAACTTGCATGTGATTTATATTAACAGAAAGACTGCGTTATTAAATGTAAAGAAGATCAATTCCAATGTAAGCATGGCCACTGTATTCCTGTCAGGTGGCATTGTGATGGAGAGACTGATTGTCTAGATGGCAGTGATGAAGAAAACTGTGAACAAGGTAATTGGAACAGCTAAGCATTGCTTCATTTTTACCCAGTTCATTTTCAGCTTGCATTAGAATGGTTATGTGCCCAACCAGAATATACTGCCATATTAGTGAGACTTGTTTATTACCATGACTTCATTACTATGCTTTGACATTTTATGTTGAGTAAATTCTGTTGCCATATGGTAGGTCCTTAGCTAATATTTTAATGTGTAGTCTTTGAATGCCTCAGAACCAGGTGTTTCTCATTATTTGCTACTTGCGTACAGAAGTTGAAATTGTTCAGCATGCTTATTTAGTATGTTGTTTAGAGTGGACACCTTAACTTCTTGTGACTATCTTAATGTATCTGTATCCACAAACATCCCTACCACCATCAATGGGACTACCTTGGTTTCCCATAGAACATAATCTGCTCGATTCCTTTATTGATGCCTTGAAAATTGTTTAGCCTGAAGAGCTTTCCCAACCATTGTAACCCGGGTTACATAGTTAAAGAAAACATCTTCAAAGACATTTGTTCAATGGATGCTCGGATGCTTAGGTATTGCAAAGAACCAAACTGACTAAACAAAATTTTGGGATTATTTTCAAAAAGGAACATTGAATGGGTTGACGGTATGTTGTTTAATGTGAGTGACAAACAGCAAGCATAATATGAAAACACTGCCTTTTATTTTTCTGAAGCCATTAATGCATTTATGTTAAGCAGACTACTGCCATTCTTAAAATAGATGGCATAAATGTTCCATATTAACATACAAATGCATTTCCAGCATTATGAATAAAAGTCAACAAAATAATAATGTAGAAAATTGATGACTTTATTAAAGAGTATGCACCAGGATTTAATACACATCTATTAACCAGTGTACTAAAAAAGATTCCACAGAGGCATTCTGGCATACATTTTCTTACATTTCTCTTGGGGTGAACAAGAAAATATCATCTTATAAAGAGCAAACAATGACTGGTTGCTAGATCACTTGATGCTAAATCTTAACCAACCAATTTCATAGATTCTCATTTCAATCCAGCTAAATTAGCAACTTGAAGACTGTTTTGTTGTTCCATTGTTCCAGGGAGATTCAAAGTAACGATGATAGGCAGCAGAAAAAAAAGTGAGGAAAGAGAATAGAAGCATTCATTATGTTGAAAAGATTGAACTTAACTTCATACTTGTGACACAGTTTAAATACTTGCTGTAAACTGAGATTAAGAAACATATTTCCAGAGTTTGTACTGAATTGTTAATCATAGGAAGGAAGGTAGATATGTAAATTTGTGATGTTGCTGGTGTACTGGTTGCCCAGAACCATCTTGGCCTCAGATCATCTTCCCAGAGGTAGGATAAGATGGTAGGGGGAGCTTCAGGACCACCTCCCCACAATCCATGGATAGTAAATTCAGCTTGTTAAAGGCCTATTGTTGAAGGCTAAAAGGAACTTTCTGAGATATGTAGCTGCCTGAAGGTAGCCTCCAGGCAACAGACCAGGGGATGAGCAAATGTAAAGCCCTCCCTGTCTGCCTGGTTAATTTGTAGCTGCTGGCTATCTTGTGGAGACGCTCACCCTTGACAAATGTTGCCTCAGAGCTGAGGCCTTCTCTCATTTCAAATTTTAATAGGTTGGAGATCAAACAAGTCAAAAAAGCAATGCCTTCTGTTTCTACAGTTTTCAAAGGCCTCTTATTGGCCCTCCTCAATTGGGTAGCATTTTTATTCCTCTGGTCAGTAACTTGTCAATGCAGGAGAAAAGATATCACAGCCAATTGCCGGTTTTCCATAAAGTGGAGTCTTCTGACCTCCATTTACCCTGGAGACAGGGTTAATGCCACATTGTTATTCCCCTTGATGAAAGGACTCAACATCTCAAAAAAAAACTTTTAACAGTACAGCCAAAATCTGGGAAGAAAATAACCTTTTTTTTGCTATCATAATACAGGTAGGTGGTGTTTGACAGAAAGGAAATATAGTTAACAATTCGCCGCAGGGTCAAATAGCTAAAGCAGGTTGAGGAAAAAATCTAAAAGCAAAGCAAACTACAGTGAACACTAGAAAACCAAAGTACAATCAAAAAATAGTGGGGATACTCAGTAGATCTGGCAGCATATGTGGAGTGAGAAACAGAGTGAACTTTTCAGATCTTCCAAGAATCTTGTTCAATTACTTGGAGTTTGTGGCAAAAGCAGGGACAATGACTGTGTACAAAATAAGTAATTTACCAAATCAAAACTGACAGAGGGATAAGGAGGGTAATAGAGAGGTAAAATGGAAAACATCTGAGGAAGATAAACCTATGTCAGTGGATGGTGATGCCAAGAGGCAGTGTGTATATGAGCAAGATGAGCAGGTAAATCATATCTGCTTCGGGAAATTTTCTAAGCTTTCAGTGCAGGAGTGGAAACCATTGCTGGAGATATGCTGCGGAGTGGGTGGAACCAAGCAAAGCCAGACTTAAAGAGCTGGAAACCATACGAGTTAGCCTGAACAAGGATAATGTAGCCAACAATGTCAAAGCCTGCAGACAGGTGATGGTCAACAAGGACAGTTAGTGACTTTAATTTTCAGGCATTTTGGCCATTTAAATGTAGAGAAATTTGTTTCAAAATCAAATCAAGATGAAAGGCAATATGTATGTTTTTTTTATTATTTATTGTTGATTCTTGAACATGATCCACATTGTTTGCAATCCAAACATGTTTGTTTAAAGCCTTCAGCAAAAGTTGAGATTATCTGAAGGGACATAAATGGGTCCTTTGATTGAAAATTAAACATTAATGTGTAAAGGGTACAAACATCATGCATCTTCAATAGGTGCGACTGAACGAATGTTCGTTTCAATTATTGGCAGAGTTGTTATGGAATTATAACACTGTGCCATTTCACATGGACCTAGATAGATGGTATCTTCCTGGTCCTGTGGAGACAGGATTGAACATATTCTGTATTTTGGTTTGTTTTAAGATGGTGCTAGAGAGTGGTGACACAGAACATCACTTTTCACTTTGTAATGAATACACGTGACAATAAATAAATCAAATCAAATCCGGCTAGTAGGAATTGTTGGCAACAAAGACAGAAATTATGTGAGAAACTCAGCAGATCTAGCATCATCTGTGGAGAGAAAGCAAAGTCAATGTAATTTTGCCAGCAATTTCTGTTTCCATTTCTCTTTTCCAGCATCCTAAGTTCCTTTTTTTTTATTTAAGAATTTTTAGTGTGGGTATTTCAGCAATCCAATATATTTCAGCATCCAGAAGACATTGCTGGAAGTGGGTCATCAAAGGTAGCAATCATCCTTCTGACAGCAGTGGACAACTAGTTTGCAAGGTGAAGAACCCAATTGTGGACAGACTGAATAGACCGATAGGAAGATCCAGGCAGCAACTTCTGCTGAAGCCAATCTCCAGCAGATTCTTGGAAGCAGCTTGCCACATACCCACAAAGCCTTTCTTTCAGGTCTCACACCACCAGAGACGTAATAATCTGCAGGCCACAACTTTAGCTGCAGACCATTGTGTGGAGGCTGTTCTCCTCCAAAACGCTATAAAATGTGTTTTATTTTATTCTTTCAAAGGGTGTGGACTGGCTGGGCCAACAGATATATCTCATCTTCAATTGCTCTTGAGAAGGAGGCAGTGAGCCATCTTCTTGAACAACTGCAGTTCATTTAGTGTTTGTTTGCCCACATTGCTGCCAGGATTTTGACCCTGCAACAGTGCTACTCAGATATTTGAGTAAAGCAGTTGGGACATACGTTGAGGTTGTACAGTACATTGGTGAGGCCTCTTCTGAAGTACTGTGTATAGTTCTGGTCACTCTGTTATAGGAAGGATATTATTAAATTGGAGAGGGTTCAGAATATATTGACCAGGATGTTTCCGTGAATGAAGGTTTCAGTTATAAAGATTGAGACATTTTTCACAGGAGCATAGGAAGTTGAGGGGTGACCTTACAGAAGTTTATAAAATCATGAGGGGCATAAATAAGGTGAATAGCAAAGGTCTTTTTCCCAGTGTAGGGGACTTCAAAACCAGGGGACATAGATTTAAGGTAAGAGGAGAAAGATTTAAAAGGGACATGAGGGGCAACTTTTTTACACAGAATGTGGTTCATATGTGGAATGAACTGCCAGATGTAGTGACAGATGCAGGTACAGTTACAACATTTAAAAGACATTTGGATAAGTACATGAATAATAAAGGTTTGGAAGGATATGAGGCAAATGCAGGCCAGTAGGACTAGTTTGGTTTGAGAACATTTTTGGTGCGCACTGGTTGGACCAAAGGGCCTGTTTCCATGCTATATGACTCTATGACCGTTTGACTCTAAATGGCGATATTCTTCAGAATCAGAGGGAATGTGGCTTGGAGGTGATGGTGTTCTCATAATTTCCAGAAGGCCTTTCAGTGCTCTCACAGTCCCCATTCAGTAGTAGCAATGTGTATCTCTGCCAGTGAGGCAGCCAACATTCCAAGTCTCCAGGCCTCCTGATTGCATCTGCTGCTTTGGGAACACGGCTATTGTCCTTAAGTGAGTGATAAACAAGAATGTGGCAAATTAGGAGTTCAAGTTCTGGAAGATTGCAACAGCAGATACACCATTGAAGTACAGCGTTGTGAAATAGAAACAATGTGGCCTCACAATTATTTTTAAGGCGTAAAAGTGTCAACAATAATAAGAAATAACAGAAAAGCTGACCAGCCCAGAAAACCATTTGTACACATGTATACCATGTATACTCTATTATTTATACTTCCATACAATAGATGCCTCTAAAACAGGAATATTTGTTGAGAAACAGGTACATTGATCTTCTAACACATATGTGAAAATGATAGAGGCAAAGATAATGAGCACTGTTGTAACTGCCTCCTCCTAATTTGCCCTTGCCTAAAAGAAATAAATAGATCACCCCCTCTAAATATAATGGACTGAAATCCTTGTTAAGCTATGAGTTATAGAATCGTAAAGATCCAAAGCACAGAAAAAGGCCCCTCAACCTATTGAGTCTGCGCTGGTCATAAATAAGCACCTAACTATTGTAATCCTATTTCCAGCACTTCATACATAGCTTCATATGCATTGTCATTGTGAAGTGCACAACTAAATACTTCTTTAAAGTTATGAAGATTTCAGTCTTCACCACCGTTACAGGCAGTCCAATCTATCCAGGCCTCTCAGTTTTCTATAAATTTCTTTCAGATCCCTCTCATCCTTCTAAATTCCATTGAGTACAGATCCAGAATCCTTAAACGCTCCTCAAATGACAGCCCTTCATCCCCAGGATCATTTTTGTAAACCTCCTCTGGACCCCTTCAAGCGCCAGCACATCCTTCCTTAGATATGGGGTCCAAACCTGCTCACAATATTCCAAACAAAAACAAAGTCGCTGGAAAAGCTCAGCAGGTCTGGCAGCATCTGTGAAGGAAAAAATAGAGTTAACGTTTCGGGTCCGGTGAGCCTTCCTCAGAACTACTGAGGAAGGGTCACCAGACCCGAAACATTGACTCTGTTTTCTTCTTCAATGATGCTGCCAGACCTGCTGAGCTTTTCCAGCAACATTGTTTTTGTTCCTGATTTACAGCATCCACAGTTGTTTCAGTTTTTACACAATATTCCAAAAGTAGTCTGACCGAACCTTATGCAGCCTCAGCAGTACATTTCTTCTTTTGTATTCTCCCCCTGTTGAAATGAATGCTAACATTGCATTTGCCTTCGTAACTGCCAACTGAACTGTTTGTTAACCTGAAGAAAATCCCAAATGAGGACTCCCAGGTCCCTTTGAGCTTCAGTTTTCTGAAGGCTTTACCCATTTAGAAAATAGTCTATTTCTCTATTCTCCGTACCAAATTGCATAAGTTCACACTTTCCAACATTGTATTCCGTTTGCCCAATAAAAACCGAAAGAACTGCAGATGCTGTAAATCAGGAACAAAAACAAAGTTGCTGGAAAAGCTCAGCAGGTCTGGCAACATCTGTGAAGGAAAAAACAGATTTAATATTTCCGAGGAAGGGTCACCGGACCCGAAATGTTAACTCTGTTTTTTCCTTCACAGATGCTGCTAAATCTGCTGAACCTTTCCAGAAACGTTGTTTTTGTTCCAATTGACCAAGTGGCCCACTCTCCTAGCCAGTCCTTCTGCAGCTGTCCTGCTTTGTCAACACCATCTGTCCCTTTACCTATCTTTGTGTCATATCTGCTCTTCTAACCCAGCAGCAACAATAACCAATAGAAATTGCCAGGGTTTTTTTTATACAATAGAGTTCCAATAATGCAATCGGGATTTGATTATTTAATCAGGACATTATTTTAACTGATGGTTTGAACAGGCAAGCTATTGTGGCATTCCCTATAACATGTCGTGAGCAGGCAGGGCCCTAAGTCTTATCGAAATTCTGCACCAATTACTTGAGCAGCTGGTTTTAGGTGAAAAGGTGATAGTGTGCATTCAAGTAAATCACAGGAGTTTAAATTTCCTGGGTCTCATGCTCACACAAATTCTGAACTCACCCAGTACCTTGCTCACCCAACTCCCAGCCCAAGCCCAGAACAAGCTTGAAAGGACAACACGGTGTCTCAGTGGTTAGCACTGCTACTTCACAGCACCAGGGACTCAGGTTTGATTCCACCCTTGGGTGACTGTCTGTGTGGAGTTTGCACATTCTCCCTGTGTCTGCATGGGTTTCCTCCGGGTGCTCTGGTTACCTCCCACAGTCCAAAAATGTGCAGGTTAGGTGAATTGTCCATGCTAAATGGCCCGTAGCGTTCAGGGATGTTTAGATTAGTTGGGTTACAGGGGGATAGGTTTGGGTGGGATGCTCTGAGGTTCGGTGTGGGCTTGTTGGGCCAAAGGGCCTGTTTCCACACTGTTGGGAATTCTATGTGTATCCAAGTAAGTAAATGTTAAATAAAGGGAATGTGACACGAGGCTGATTTTTCATCACCACAGAAACAACATTACATTTTATATACAGACTTTATTTAAAAAGATTGAGCATGTCATATTTATTCCTTGTTATAGCTAATGTTATAAAAACAGTAAGGAGATTGCCATGAAGAGCAAATACATTTGGCCAGCAAATCAATGACAATATGAAACTGGAAGAGAGTAAAATAGACTAAAATATATCTATAAATGAATGAGACCATTGAGTTGCTCACTCTTGACATGTCTGCATTAATATTGATGATCCTATATGTACTATACGAGTTATATGAATTTGAAAATCAAATTGATTAATACTCCTGTTTTCTAGTGAAAACAACCTGCAACGTAGATGAATTCCAATGCAACAATACACTTTGTAAACTTCTATCCTGGCTGTGTGATGGAGAGGATGACTGTGGAGATAACTCAGATGAAAACCCAGAAACATGTGGTACATTATCAAGTTCTCTTAAATTCTATGCCCTGTACAGCTTTAGAGAGAAAATAAATAATGATATATTAGATGGTCTGGTAGGTGGGATTGATTGAAGAAAATAAAGATAACCATACTTAAATCTAATGGGCTTTTACTGTGCTTGAAATTCCTCAGTGTCTGCATGGCATAATAGGGGAAGATATGGATATTTCGAGAGGTTGTGGCCAAGTCATGACGTCATTGTTGCAGTGACCAAGTTACAAGGATGATCCCTTTCTGTCCTGGTTCTCCACTGGCCACAGTAGAGTTCGCACTCCAAAATGGAGGTGCTATTACCACTTATTTTTGGTAGACTGTCTATCACAGAATCGCAGAATTGCTACAGTGCAGAAGGAAGCGATTCGACCCATTCTGTCTGCACTAGTTCTCTGAGCATTTTAACTTCGTCCCAGTCTGCTACCACTTTCTGTACATTATCTCTATTTTAATAATTGGCATGGTGGCTAACTGATTAACACTGCTACTTTACAGCACCAGGGAATCAAGTTTGATTCTAGCCTCCAGCGACTATCTGTGTGGAATTTGCACGTTCTCCCTGTGTCTGTGTGCGTTTCCTCTGGGTACTCTGGTTTTGTCCCACAGTCTAAGAACGTGCAGATTAGGTGGATTGGACATGCTAAATTGCCCATACTGTCAAGAGATGTATAGATTAGATGGATTAGCCATGGGAAATGCATGGTTACAGGGTAGGGTTTGGGTCTGGGTGGAATGCTCTTTGGATGGTCAGTGTGGACTCAATGGCCCAAAGCACCCACTTCCACACTGTAAGGATTCTATTCTAATGTCCTCTTGAATGCCTCAACTGAAGCTGCTTCCACCACATTTCCAGGCAGTGCATTTCACACCCTAATATTTTTCTGTATGAAATAGACTTTTCTCACCTTGAACTGACTTCTTTGACAAAACATTTTAAAATGGCGCCCTCTAGTTCTTGATCTTTCTATAAGTGGGAACAGTTTCTCCCTCATTGTTAACATTCCAAAGAACTCCAGCAAATTAGATAAATAAGATGTTCCCTTAATAAATCCATGTTGGCTCTCAATGCGCATTTTTTCTGTGCAGTTATTAATTCCTGAAATCTATCCTGAAAAGAATTGTTTCTGGAAATTTCCTGCTGGTGAAGTAAAACTGACTACTTTGTTACTGCTGGCTCAATCTTAACAACCTTTCTTGAAAATGGGCATAATGTTTGTAATTCTATAAACCTCTGACAATACATCCAAATTTGCAGAAGGTTGAAGATAATTGTTTTTGTCTCTGTAATTTCCATTCTCATTTCCTTAAATATCATTGGACGCATCTCATCCCGTTCAGCTACCTTGTCAATAAAAAGTACAGACAGTTTATCCAACACTTCCTTCTTATGAATTATAAATCCCTCCCGTGAATGAATTTCCTTCTCATTCACCATGCCCTGCGAGTAAAGACAAATGCAAAATTTCCATTGAATGCCTCAGTCATCCCTCTTGCCACAAAGTATAAATCTCCTTTTTCGTCCCAATTGACCTGACTCCTCCCTTTACCACAATTATGCAATTTATTTTTTACGGGATCTTAGGATCTGTTTGTTCTACCTTTCCCTTTTGGAGGAATATACTCTGGCTTTGCCTGAGCCATCGCCTCATTGAAGATACCCCATTGTTCAGATATAGTTTTTCCCTCCAACCTTTGGTTCTAGTCTATCTGGCTCAGCTCTGTTCTTGCCCCATTTGAGTCTATTCTCTGCCAGTTAAGTATTATAATTTTGAATTGACTAATATAATTTTCCCTGTTCACTGAAATGTTTCATCATTGTCACTTGGCCCACCTCATTCCCAACAACCAGTTCTAGCAGTACATCCTCATCAGCTCAGTGACTCTTTGATCTTTTACTTATAAGTTCTGTGCTGTGCGTGCTTCTTTCTCACTTCACCTGATGAAGGGGTTACGCTCCAATAGCTTGTGTTTTCAAATAAACCTGTTGGACTATAACCTGGTGTTGTGTGATTTCTGACTTTGAATACTATCGAGTAACGCTTGTCCATTGCTATCCCTAACATTACCCCTGCCCTGGTCAATGTACAGGTAATTAAAGTCAATTAACTCAGTTAGCTAGATAACTGCTTTGTGATGCAAATAGATTCAATTCTTACACTGCTTGAGGTTACCATGAAGGACTTACCTTCTCAACCTCTCATCTTGCCTGAGGTGTGGTGACCCTCAGGTGAAAGCACCATCAGTCATCTCTCCCCAATCAGAGGGCTGCCCTATGGTCCACAAGAACCATGGTGACTTTACCTTTGTCTTATAGGTTGATATGTTGCACCAAATAATGTTATTGCACCCTTGTTATTCTCTAGTTTTAGCCAAATTGATTATTTCCTTGATCCCTCTGAAATATCCTCTTTCTCCAGCACTGCAATGATTTCCTTAACCAAAAACACTACCTCTCCTTCTTTTTGTTTTACTTTCCTATCTTTTCTGAACCCTTTGAAACCGGGAATATTAAACATCCAGCCCTTCCTTCAACCAAGTCTCTGTTTAACTATACCTTGTGCATTCACATACGTGCAGTGGAATCCTGACTTCGAGTTCATTACTTTACTACCTTACTTTGACTCCACCTTTTAACTTTTCTTCTCTATTTTAGGACTAGCTCCCAGCATTTCATTGTTCCTGTTATTAATTTCTAATATTCTATCCTGGTTTCTATACTCCTGCTGAGTTAGTTTGATCCCTCCCTGACAGCTCTAGTAAAATGCCCCAGGAGGAATTTAGTCCCAACTTTGTTCGATGTAATGGGTCCGACTTGTACAGGTGCCATCTTCCCAGAGCCAGTCCAAAGATCTAATGTTGTCTCTCTTGCATCATCTTTCCAGCTACACATTCATCTGTCTTATCTTCCTCTTTCTGTACTCACTTGCATGTTGCACTGGGAGTAATCTGGAGATTACTACTTTAGAGATCCTGCTTACTAATGCTAATTTTGTACCTAACTCCCTAAATTATAATTGCAGGGCCACATCTCTCTTCCTATCCATTGCCATTAGTACCAATGTGGATCACAATCTGGCTATTCACCAAAAGAATGTCCAACCAAAAAGGCAACATACAATCCTAAAGTCAGATTGACAAAGGCAGAAATGGTTATGTGTTCTCTGAATAAGAATCCCCTGTCAGTTCTGCCCTTCTATTCCTCTTGCTTCCCTCCTGTATAGCTGGGACACTCATGGTGCCAAAGGCTTGATTCCTGCTCGACTCCTTCAAGGATTCATTGCCCTCGCCATTATCCAGAATGGAAAAGTAATCAGTAAGCAGGAACTTTCGGGGAATTCGGCACTACCTGCCTGTTTCTCTTAGACAGCTTGGTGATCACTCATCCTCTATCTGCTTGGTCCTAACTTCCGGTGTGACCACCTCTCTGAACAAGCTTTCCACATAGTTCTCTGTCTCATTAATGTGACCCAGTCATTCTTCTTGGTGCTCAAATTCTAAAATATGGAGTTCATACTTGTGCAGTCAATGCCACTTCCTGCACATAGACTCATCTAGGTCACAAGAAGAGCCCTCAACTTCTCTCATGCCACAGGATGGGCATTTGTCGAGCTGCTGTGCCATACCTTAATTTATACTTTTCAGTTACTTGACTTACTGTAGATTTAATTACTTTAACATATTTTAACCTTATTCTTACCGTATTCATTATAAACTGGAGGTAATTAGAAAGTAGAAATTATTTGTCCTTATTGAGAAATCAGCTCCCTATTTTTGTGCCTGTTAATTCTTTCTCTCCCTGTGCTACTTTAGAAATGTCTATTTGTTTCAAAACTACTGAGATTAAATCACAATCCCTAACAGAACCTGCTCAACACCTAGAGATAACAAGGTTTAGAGCTGGATGAATACAGCAGGCCAAGCAGCATCAGAGGAGCAGAAAGGCTGACGTTTCGGGTCTAGGCAGTTGCTACTATCTCTGCTCAACAACTAATCAGCTCATGACTTTCTTGTAATGTCAATCTTAGATTTCTTTCTCTTCACCTTGTATTATTTTATCTGGTAAAAACCAAAAGGTTTTCCAGCAACTTTGTTTTTGTTCCTTGTTTTATCTGGTGTCCAGTTTCACTCTCACCTGGTTTGAGGTGCTGGTGACTGTCTCTATGTTCACATCTCTCACTTATTTAGGTGCTGGTGACAATCGCAGGGTTCCCTCTCTCCTGCTTATTTAAGTGCTGGAAATTGTCTTTAGATCCTTCATTTCCCAGACCTGCTCATGTGTAGCCCGGTGTCAGAAACAAGTCACCAGGTTCCTTCTTTCCTTTATTGCAAATGCTATACTCAAACAAAGCCGAAAAACATACTAATAAAATGTTGAAAGATGCAAATATGTCCAACTATTCTTCTTGAAGAATAAAACATGTATACACTCACATAATCTGCTCCAAAGCTTGACACAGCATATAAAACTCTGCAGAGTTCTTTCTGCAGAGTTTTATCTCGAAAGAACTTTGGCAAACAACAATTACATTCAGAAAAAAAAAATTCAGAAATTGTCCAAATGCTGGCCTGCAGCCAATGTCACTTTCCATGCAGACTATTACTACAAGGTTCTCTCTCTGATTCAGTTATGGGTAGTTGAATTCCCTCTTTCTGCAAACATTGGTATAAATTCAGACTTTTCCTTCAAGAGCTCTCGGTTTGCAGTGAAGTAGTTTTTCTGTGGGTTTTAAATTCACAAATCTTGATGAGTGTAGATTCAGAGGAAGGTAAAGGTAAAGTCACCATAGTCCCAGAGGACCATAGGGGAGAGAGAACTGTCGGTGAGTTTAACCTGAGGGTCACACGCCTCAGGTGAGAAGGCAAGGTTGAGAAGGCAGGACATTCATGGTAACCTCAGCTTGTGCAGGACTTGAACCTATGCTGTTAGCCTCATTTTTCATCACAAACCAGCCATCTAGTCAACTAAGGTAACTGACTCCCATTGTGGGCAAAGGCTGTGCTCCCTATAAGTTCTGTTTGAGTGTTCAAAACTAATGTATTTCACAGCCACAAACCAGATCATACAATTTCCCTCTAAAAGTGTTGTAGACTCAGTTTCAATTGGGCAGCTTGTTTTCTTCATAAATGCAACATTTTTGCTGTTGTAGCCTTTGCTTTGAAAAACATTCTCTTTAAAATGCTAAAGATGTACATATGTCTGGCCAATTTCATTACAAATTAATGTTTTATGTAACACAACTTCATAACAAAAAAAAGTCCCCAAAATGACTTAAATTCATGACTTGGTGCCTATGGGTGGTAAATTGGCAGCAATGGAGCCATCAATTGAGGATAAAGGGAATTCCTAAGTAACCTCATTCATTATGTACCACATTTAATTAGTTTTCTTTCGTGCCCCAAACATACTAATATAGTATAGAATCGCAGAATTACTACATGCAGAGGAGGCCACTTATCCCATATATCTATTCTGGCTGTCCACAGAAGCATTACACATAAAACTGTTATTCTGTCTTCTCCCTGTAACCTTGCACAGTCCCTTTTCAAATAACAGCATATCTCTCTCTTGCAGCCCCAATTCAACCCAGCTTCACCTTATTCTCAGGTCATAAATTCCAGGACCCCACTGTGTGAAACTCTCATGCTCTCATCCACTACCACACACATTTTCTCAAAGGTGCATGTTCAGTTATTGCTATTTTACTAAAACCTCCTTAATAAAATTTAGAAAATGCAATTTTTGACTCTCTGAAGTTAAACACTGGAGATTGTGGCACTGGGTTTATCTGTAACGCAGAATAGTAGCAGCTGTGTAATGGGGAAGCTGGCATCAAGACTTTTCTATGGTTGGAAAAACAATTCCATAATGGACAGCACCCAGAGTTGGGGTCTTGTCAATATTGAACTAAAAATTTGGTTTTAAGAACCACAAGATAGGTGGAACTGTGGGCAATATCATCATCGTGCATGTTTTTTTGGAGATCCAATTGAAGAGTGATATTGGACATCATTTATCAAAGGCATAAACTACTTTAAGAATCAAACTTGGTGGATTCAATCTTGGTTAACTAAACAGCTAGGTTTAACAGAACTGGCAGGAAAATCGACAGTAAGAAGGGCAGGAAGAGTTACAGGCAATAAGTCTGAGATTGATATGAAATGTTACAGTAAGGTCTATTGTGAGTACGTAATGCTTACTTTTGCCATTTTGTTTTAAAAGTAAAGTTTCAGTGTCCACCCACAAGATCATTCAGATGCAAAAATGGGAGAGTGTGCTTGCAACCTGAGCAAGTTTGTGATGAAGTGAATAACTGTGGTGACAACTCTGATGAAGTGGATTGTGGTATGTGCATCCATTTTATTTAGATAGTATTCTTAATGCTTTAAATGCTAACAGGTTAAGTTTCAAAGATAATAGTACATATATTTCAACAGGCAAAGAATGAATTGTGTTCAATTAGGCTATGAAGTAGTGAATCAACATAAGTGATTTGGCACCAAGTTTAGCAACATCGAGAAGAATGAAAGAACTTAAACTTATACAGTGCGATTCACATTCCAAGTTACTTCGCAATTAATCAACCGCTTTTCTTTAAGTGTATTTATTGTTCTTTTGTGGAGGAACATTGCAAGCAATTTATCTGTTGGTGCCTCAAATGGCAATGGGATTAATGACCAGTTACCTGCTTTTGAAATTGATCACGAGATAAATGTTGGTGGAACTAATATTCTAACTACAGTGGAATTATCCCATAACTACTTTTATATCTACCTAAACAGGCTGTCAGAACCATCATTTAACATCCTGTTTTGAAACACAACATAACCTCTGACAGTGCAACATTTGCTCAGCATTGCACTGAAGAGTTCGATTTTTGGAATTCGCTGGTATAGGGCTCTATCCCATGTACTTCTGACTTAGAGACACCTGATGCTCCACTGAACCAAGCTGACATTTAGTAGAACATTTCCAACCACAGTTAAACAATGAAGCTAAACAGTCTTGTTCCTTGTGATTTATTTAAAATTATGAATCAGAATCATACAAACTAATGAAAGCAAGCATGCATTTTTCTTCAATTTTCTGGAACTGTCCAAGATAATTATTTTGAAATGTTGAACTTCCTAATTATGAGCATTTTTATACAGCTGGAAATGTCAAATCCAGGAGAATTTAAGTGAACTATTGAATTAATAGCTTACATATTCCTTTGTTGTTTAGAATTACAGCCTATTACTTGAATGCATGTATTTTATACACCCAATATACTTATACTGAATCTCCTAAAGATCATTAAGTGCAGACTTTTTCAATTTCTTTCATCATAAATAAGTAAATCAGTTGTCACAGTGAAATACCTCAATAATCTAATGATTATTGAGTTGGTACACTGAAAATTAACTTTTACAAATGGAGGACAAGACTTCTTGCTAGAAATAGTTGTAATTTTGTGAGACTGGCCTTAAACAACTGCATTTACCATCAGGGTGAAGAATTTGCAGGGTCAAACTGTTTCACTGTTATTTATTTACTGTTGTTGGAGAGATTAACTGTGCTAAATTCTTCCTTACCAACAATTATATCATTTAGTCAACAGTCCCTGACCATGAATAGTGCCAGCTGATATAGTTGTTACACATACACAAGGAGTATGTGAGCTGAAGCATGTAACATCTGCTGGTGGCCTGGTGTGAATGAATTAATGTTGTACTGTTGACCTAGCGCCCTATCTAATTTCATTTTGCAGAAATTGGAATAAATTAGTAATACTATATTTTCAAGGACATAAACATTATAATCAATAAATATGGCTAACTAGTTTGAATACATTGTAGAAACTGTTTCATCCCTATTGCATGAGTGCAAAATTACTACAATGTCTACCACCTCTGCAGAAGGATGGCCCATACAGTGTTGGTCAAATTTTCAGATTCATGGATTGCAGTATTAGGTCCTGGCCAGACATTAGGATCCATGTCTTGTGAATTAAGAACCCAACACAATGAAAGATACACTTGACAAATAATTCATTGATTCTTCAGCAAAACAAATAATTGTTATTTTGTTTCTATTTTTAAGAATTACATTTCCGTGGAGTTAGGGGCTGCAAGAAGGGTCAGCTCATTTCATTGCACATAAGAGCTCTTCCCCAGCATTCCCCTACCAACCCCTGCAGTTTGCAACACACATGAACGTTTCTGCTAGTGAAATAGGATGCTTAAAATTCATGGTTTTCTCTAAACAAGTTGCCTGTGAAGGTGCAACCATGTGATGGCAGCTAATCCCAAGCATCCACATGAGGACTGAGTATCAATTCCAGCCTGTGGTTTCAGATATACACTGATTCTGCACGAACATAGACATGGCCAGAGTAAAGGGACAGTCACACATCATTACCACCAGTTTTAATTTTGAAATGTACATTGCCAACTTTTTGAATAACCTTTCATAACATAGAAACATAAAAAATGGGAGCAGGAGTTGATCATTTGGCCCTTCAAGCCTGCCTCACCATTCAATATGATCCAATTCAATACCTTGTTCCTGCTTTCTCCCCATACCCTTTGATCCCTTTAGCCCTAAGAACCATATCTAACTCATTTTTGAAAATATTCAATGTTGTGGTTTCAAGGGTAGGCAATGGCCTAGTGGTATTATCACGAGATTATTAATCCAGACACTCAGATAATGTTCTGGGGACCTGAGTTCGAGTCCTGCCATGGCAGATGGTGGAATTTGAATTCAGTAATAGACTGGAATTAAGAGTCTAACGATGTCCATGGAACTATTGCTGATTGTCAGGAACAAACCCATCTGGTTCACTAATGTCCTTTAGGGAAGGAAATCTCACCACCCTTACCTGGTATGGCCTACAAGTGACTGTAGACCTATAACAATGTGGCTGACTCTTAACTGCCCTCTGGGCAATTAAGGAAAGGTAATAAATGCTGGTCCAGCCAGCAACACCCACACCCCATGAATAAATGAAAAAAAAAACATTTCTGTGGCAGAGATTCCATAGGCTTACCACTGTCTGGCTGAAGAAAGTTCTCCTGATCTCAATACTAAATGACCTACCCCATATCCTTAGATTGTGACCCCTTGTTCTGGGCTCCTTGATCGTTGGAAACATCTTTCCTATGTTTACCCTATCTAGCCTTCTAGAATTTTGTAAATTTCTTTTGAAATACCCCTCATTCTGCTAAACAACAGAGAATATAGTCTGAACCAATCCAATCTCTTTTCATATGTTAGTTTTATCATCTCAAGAATCAGTCTGGTAAATCTTTGTTGCACTCTTTCCATTGTCAGAACATCTTTAAGTCTGTGTGCCTTATATAATATTTGGCATTTGTGCATCATGCATCATTATTCACTGTCTCTTTAACTAACAGGGAAGCAAATTCAAAGGGCATGTGGAAAGGATGAGTTTACATGCAGCAATGGGAAGTGTATTCCTGTGGAACTACAATGTGACATGTTCAACGACTGTGCTGATGGTGGGTCTGATGAACAAGACTGTACTAAAAGTAAGTCCTAATTGTAAAAAGTATTGTAAAAATTGTAAGTCCTAATTGCCCTTGCTTTGTGTAGCTCTGCTGATCTCCTGCAGAGAAACCTTGACAGTGTAATTGATGTATTTCTGGTAGAATTGGTTTGGCTGTACACTTTGATGTTCTTTTCATTTTAGCTTGATAAAAGATACGTACATATTAATAATTCCATCAGGAACCTTATGAGAAATGTCTAACTTAATGGTCTTAGAACTACTAGACTTATGACAAGATTATAAATGTACTTGTATGATTGTATCCGAATCTTAGTCCAGTCGTCCTTCAGTTTCAAAGCAAGGAGCTGGTAAGAAACTGAGAAATATTCATGCATGTTTCAGTTGCCACCATTATTCAAAGGTTTCAATTTGCTTAAACATTTTAACATACAGTTCAAAAGGTAAAATTTTCAACTCCCAGGAGGTAGCAAGAAGAGATTGTGAGAAGAGAAAATAATTAGGTGACTTGGCTCTGCAGAGATAATCAGCTCCTTCACGCCATCCACATCAATTAATTGCTGGGCAAACAGGCTCACTGGGGACTGACCAGCAATTAAGACGCTTAAGTGGTCAATTAAGGCTTTCATTCACCACCTCCCCAATTCCCTGGCAGATAAGCAAATTGGCCAGTTTCCTGACTGAGTACCCAGGATGACCTGTCCATCAGGTTAGCATGGGTGCTCAATTTCCCTCAATCTAGTGACAATCAGAGACATAGATAGGGGATAACTTCTGAAAGACAACTCCTGCCAATGCTGCTGAGCCCTTCTTCTACTCTATACCTCCACCCAATGACCGAAAAGCTTGTATCCTTTGAGGGATCTACAGTTTCAGGTAAGCCTGCATGTTACAACTGAGTCCTCCAATAGCCCAAAAAGATTGCCGATCAGCTCTGAACAATGCTAGAACTCTTGTTGATTTTTCATTTTTCTTAATGGACTTGTTCATGATTTGTGGACTTTGAAACAGCTTGTGGTGAAAGGAAACAAAATAGATAAAATGAGCTTTTGTTTGTTTGTGAAGCCAGACCTGAAGGCTAATTGCAAGTTGGGTCTTGATCAAAAAGGTTCATACGGATGCAGAGACCATGAGAAGAGTATTGTGTAAAAAGAGATAGCAGAAGTTAACTATTAGTAATGTCAGTGCCTGAGAATTGGTTCTGGTGAGTCTGGAAGAGGTCAAGCAGATAGCAGATACTGAATGTAATTGAGGCCGCTGGAAAAGACTGTTGGTCTTTGAGGACAGAGCCATAGTTGAAGTTGTTTTTTTTTAAAAATATATGTTTTATGGGAAAATAAGCTTGACAGTTGATGACACAGCATGAAAGTTTGAATGTTCCTGGCCTAATCTCCCACTCCAACTTTTGGAAGCCTAAAGAGTAGAAAGCTGAGTAAGAAGTATTGCCACCTTTACCTGAATGAACTGAGAAAGTGACCAGGGTCAGCTGTTCCAGAAAAGCAACCAAAAAATCCATATCTATACCTGTGAAATAACGCACTGCAAAAATCATTTAAGTAATCTGGCCAGGTTTGTCAGTTTATTTTATCTATCCCTTAACAGTGTTTGTTTGTCTGCCCACCTGTCTTTTACATGAATGGGGCTGAAAACAATTGTTTCAGGTTTAAAGCATAGACATTAATTAGGTCACTGTGTTGTTTAATTTTCTCTCTGTTAAAATTAAACGGCATTTTTAAAAAATGTTTAGTCTTTTATTTAAGATACAAAACTGGTGTCTGGAAATTAAGTATTTGCAAGGTCAGTGATTGGTTCTTAAAAAGTTTAGTTAGGAACCATTGGAGTGACTAATGGGGGTCTTTGATAGTTTCAATTTACAGTGTTGTGAACACAGAAGTACAAAGGGTATTTGATTTAGCTGTCTGTCTCCATGTCATAACAAAAAGCTGATTAATGTGTAATCCAACAAGCTTTCTCAGCTGTGGAGATGGTGAGTTAGTTAACGCCTAACACGCCCATGTCCATACTTAGTATGAGATGGAGAAAATTGTGTCCTAAATGCTAAGAACATAAGAACCAGGAGCAGGAGTAGGCCATCTGGCCCTTCAAGCCTGCTCCCCCATTGAATAAGATCATGACTGATCTTTCTGTGGCTGCATCTGCACTTACCCACCTTCTCACCGTAACCTTTAATTCTGTTACTGTTCAAAAATGATGTATCCTAGCTTTAAAAACATTCAGTAATGAAGCCTCAACTACTTCAATGGACAGGGAATTCCACAGATTCACAACCCTTTCGGTGAAGAAGTTCTTCCTCAATTCGGACCTAAATCTGCTCCCCTTTATTTCAGGGCAATGCTGTCTTGTTTTAGATTCACCTGCCAGTGGAAACATCCTCCCTGCTTCTACCTTATCTATTCCCTTCATAATTTTATATGCTTCTATAAGATTCCCCGTCATTCTTCTAAATTCCAATGAATATAATCCCAGTCTACTCAGTTGCTCCTCATGAGCCAAACCTCTCAACTCCAGAATCAACCTAGTGAATCATGTCTGCACCCTCTCCAGAGCTAGTACCTGCTTTCTGTACTAAGGAGACCAATACTGCACACAGTACTCCAGGCGTGGCCTTACCAGCGCCCTATGGCTGTAAAATAACTTCCCTGCTTTTAAACTCAATCCCTCTAGCAATGAAGGACAAAATTCCACTTGCCTTCTTAATTACCTGTTGCACCTGCAAACCAACCTTCTGCGATTCATGCACAAACACACCCAGGTCCCTCAGCACAGCGGCATGCTGCAGTTTTTTACTGTTCAAATAATAGTCCTTTTTACTGTTATTCCTACCAAAATGGATGACTTCACATTTATCAACATTGCACTCTATCTGCCAGACCTTTGTCCACTTACTTAAACTATCTATATCCCTCTGCAAACTTTCAGAGTCCTCTGCACACTTTGCTCTACCACTCTTCCTAGTGTCATCCGCAAACTTTGACACACTACACGTGGTCCCCAACTCCTAATCATCTATGCAAATTGTAAACAATTGAGGTCCCAACACTGATCCGTGAGCCAGACCACTGTTCACTGATTGCCAACGAGAAAATCACTCATTTATCCCCAGTCTTTGCTTCCTGTTAGTCAACCAATCCTCTATCCATACTAATACGTTGCCCGTAACACCGTGCACCTTTATCTTATGCAGCAGCCTTTGGTGCAGCACCTTGTCGAATACCTTTTGGAAATCCGGATACACCACATCTACTGGGTCCCTGTTGTTTACCACACTAGTCATGTCTTCATAGGATTCCAGTAAATTAGTTAAACATGACCTGCCCTTCATGAACCCATGCTGCGTCTGCCAATGGGGCAATTTCTATCTAGATGTCTTGGTATTTCTTCCTTGATAACAGATTCAAGCATTTTCCCTACTACATAAGTTAGGCTAACCAGGCTATAATTTCCCATCTTTTGTCTACATCCTTTTTTAAACAGTGGTGTCACATTTGCTGTTTCCCAATCTGCTGGAACTGCCCCAGAGTCCAGCAAATTTTGGAAAATTACCATGAGGGCATTTGCTATTACTCCCACCATCCCTTTTAGTACCCTGGGTTGCATTCCACCAGGGCAAGGTGACTTGTCTACCTTTAGCTCCATTAGCTTGCCCAACACTACCTCTTTTGTGATCATGATCATTTCTAGGTCCTCACCAATCCAAGTTTCCTTGTCATCAATTACTAGTATGTTTCCTCATTTCCCATTATTAAATCCCCCTTCTTATCCTCTAAAGAACCAAAGTTTACCTTAGCCATTCTTTGTCATTTTATATATTTGTAGAAACTTTTGCTATCTGTCTTTATATTCTGAGCTAATTTACTCTTATAATCTACTTTACTTTATAGCTTTTTTATGGCTTTCTGTTGACCTTTAAAGTTTTACCAATCTTCTAGTTTGCCACTGGTCTTTGCCACTTTGTATGCCTTATCTTTCAATTTGATAGCCTCCCTTATTTCCTTAGACATCCATGGGTGATTACCTTTTTTATGACTTCCTTTTCACTGGTATATACTTTTGTTGAGCACTTTGAAAAATTACTTCGAAATTCTTCCACTGTTCCTCAACTGTCCCACCATAAAGTCTTTGCTTCCAGTCTACTTTAGCCAACTCCTCCCTCATTCTATTGTAGTCTCCTTTGTTTAAGCACAGGACCCTAGTATTGGATTTTATCTTCTCAATTTCCATGTGTATTCTAAATTCAACCAAACTGTGGTCTCTCCTTCCAAGAGGGTCCCTAACTATTACACAGGACTGGAATAGCTTGCTCTCTCCTCAGTTCCATTACACACTGTTCAAAAGAATTATCACTGATAAATTCCATTAACTCCTCCTCAAGGCTACCGACCTGGTTCGACCAATTGACATGTAGATTAAAATCCCCATGATAATTGCTGTACCATTTTTACAGGCGTTAGTTATTTCTTTGTTTATTGCCCGCCCCAATGTGATGCTATTATTTGGTGGCCTATAGACTACGCCTATCAGTGACATTTTCTTCTTAGAATTTCTAATGTTCCACCCAAAAGGATTCAACCTTATTCTCCATAGAACCTATATCATCTCTCACTAGCCCCCAAAAGCCATCCTTAAATATCAGAGTAACACCATCTCCCTTACCTTCCTGTCTGTCCTTCGGAATAGTCTGATACCCCTAAATATTTAATTTTCAGTCATGACCATCCTGCAACCATGTCTCTGTAATAGCTAATATTCGCAGTGATTTGTGACATTAACTTATCTACCTTGTTTCACATCCTACGGGCATTCAGATAAAGTGCCTTTATGCTAGCTTTTATACATTTCTTTTAATTCTAACATCTCCATTCGTAATATCTCCTCAGTTTTCCTTCCTTTTAACTTCTTTCATAGTCTTCAATGCGGTTAAATCCTCCTGCACACATGCTAATCTGCTGCTTTCTTTTCTATTTACCATTATACTTCCTGCACTGGTTCCAGATCAGTTCA